CATTTTATAGTGTTTGAAAGTTGGTCTTAAAAATGTTGTAGTTTTTACCAACTGGGTGTAGCTCAGTTGGTAAGGCGTTCAAGCGGCACTCAGGAGGTCGTGGGTTCAACTCCTATTGCCCCCACGATAGTGCCTGTGGCATGCTTGGCGTCTTACCTTCGAGACGGTCAGTTGGTAAGCAAGTACGTGGTAGCTCAGTGGGCAGAGCTCTGGTGTTGCAACAGGGAAGTTGTGGGTTTGACTTTGTCGGCCCGCAACTTCCCCTGAGCACAATTGGTTGGTGTAGGTTGCACCCCACGTACTTGTCCCGAGCCTGGCATAGCGCCCTTACAGACTAATGACCTCAATAGCTCAGTGGGTAGAGCTCTGATATACTAACTTGGAGGTCCTGAGTTCAACTCCGACTATGCTCATTCATCATATCAGCTAAAGGGATGATCCTCTACATGGTTTCGGGTGGGGACGTGTGCCTTTCCTGCGGGAAAGTTGATGTGGGATGGATGCTACTCTCTTGGGCAAGTGAGTAGTAAGGGGTTGGTTGGGTGCATGGTGTTACCGTGGGAGTCCTATGGTGGGGAGGGTTGCCTTGTAGGGAAGCCAATGTCGAATCAAGAGGTGTGTCCTACTCCCAATGTCTGTGGACCCATTTCGGGGTGGTGGGTTATCTTCAGAGGTAGGTTGGGGGTAGTTGTTAGACGACGGTCGAGGTCTTCACCATTACCACTGGTTGATTCTCCCTAGCAAACAGACATAAGCAAGGCTCATCAGTAGCAGAAAAAGCAACCACACACATCCACATAGACTATGATATCACATTAGCTCACATAACAACCAGCATACTCAACAACTAAACAGTAGACATATATGATCCGAGCTGAGAGGGGCTCATAGGTTAAGACCTTGGTTAGTTGACCATTAGACACTGCCTATGAGTGCCCTCACTACTCACGGGACTAGCTGAGAATTATGTGCCTAGCTCCCGAGGTTCCCGTATAACGAGGCTTGTACGCTAGTGACTCAACTGGGGCTGAATGGGGGAGCTCATTCAGCGTCGGTGCCCGCGTCCGCTGTCTGGTCAGGTTGCTCCAGTAGAGAGTGATGTTCCTCGCATGAGGTAAGATAGAAATGGAGTGGGGCATCCCCTGTCTGGTCAGGTTGCTCCAGTAGAGAGTGATGTTCCTCGCATGAGGTAAGATAGAAATGGAGTGGGGGTGCGCCAGGAGATATATCGAGAGGAGTGGTGGGATGGGAGTCTTGTGAGTAAAAAAAAACAAAACAAAAAAAAGTCGTAGTTTTAGATACTGATGGTCCACTGTGGACGTAGCGGAAGTCCAGATGCATCCACGGGCGTTTCAGATGGAGACAGCTGTTAGGGTCATATAAGTGGGTCTCAGTTTCATTCAAAACATATGTATAATGACGGTATCAACGTGTCTCCGGCTCAGTTGGTACACCTCCACGAACTGGTGAAATATGAATCAGACCGAAGTTAGAATCCAGATGCAATCAGATGACCAGAATCAAAATACTTCTGAGTTACCTGTTGGCACCAAGAGTCTGTAGGTGGCCAGTGATGATTGAACAGAAGTCCTCCTGAATGCCACTTGGTCTAAATCACTGAGAGACGCCCCTTGCTCCCTACTCTACTCTTGAGTATCTTGATTCTTTTTTTTTTGTTAATTCAACAATGCTGCTTTGTTTATTTTTTCTCCCCTTTTCCTCCCTTTTTGCATACTACGCTACATTCTTCTCTCAAATCTTTCATCACCTTTCAAATTCTTTCTTTCTTTTTTTTTTTTTTTTCGAATCGTTTCCTTAATATAAATTCTGAGGCAGGGAACCCCGATTGCTGGGGCCATTACCCAGCTTGGCCCAGGCTGGAAACCAGGTCCAGCGTCCCATAAGGTGCACTCTTTTAATAATACTTCCAACTGGACTAACAAAAGACCAAACAGAATAGAAAAGTTACCTTAGGAAGAGCTAATCTGTACTATTGGCTTGGTAGAACCTTTCAAGGGGCTTCTGTAGTCCTCCGCTATCTGCGAATGCAGCCTAACGCTGTCAGCTAGACTGATTGCTTCAACACGATTCTACAGTCCTCAGCTTTCTGCAATTGCAGACCAGAGCCAAGGTGAGCGTTTGAGTTTCTCTGCTGAGTCTATCAGGACGAGCTGGTTCGGAACTCCCCACGTTTCTTTGAACCAACTCAGGCCAGTGGCCTTGTCCAGGTTCCTCAGAACCTTAAGGTGCCAATCAGCTCTGATAGTTCGTCTGATGGGTATTTTTATTCTAGCGTGTAGCTCACGTAACGAGCTAGTTTTGCTGTGGAACAGCATGAGATTCCTTGCAAGCCAAATTTCCCACAGGATGATGCCTTTTATAGGCTGGGCAATGTATCCTGTGCCAGTCTTTGGGCAAAGGTCTTCGGGGAGGAGTCCGAATGCTATCGACTGCACCGTCCAGGTTAGTGTAGCGCCAGTGAGCTGCTTCCAGTGGTGTTGCCACCAGCCCCACACAATATTCGATTGAGGGCAGTTGATCCATATATGGTAGGCTGTTTCCCATGGCCAGTTGCACCTGGCACATTTAGAGTCAACAGTACTTCTACATGTTTGCTCTGCAGCCAGATTGCTGACGGTACCACTTGGAGCGCTTGTAACCACAGATTCTGAAGGCTTGCTGCTTTTTGGGAGGGTAACGGGGTGAGCTGGCTCCAAGGTGTCTGCACCCAGTTTTCCAAGTTCTGAAGTCCTGTTGCTTCATTTGATCCGTTTCACGGCCAGTAGGGTTGGGTCATTCCGCCTTCGAGCCTGGAGCAGTGTGACACCTAATTTGGCCGTATACTGGTGCAGTTCTACCTCCTTCCCTGCCGAGGAGCGCCATTTGAACATACTGGGATCGACCCTCAGTTGTCTAAGTGGTGTGGCTCCAACCTACTACTTGTATTGTAAATTTACCTTTTTTCGTAGTCTCCCACACTCTGACTTCTTTCGCTGTCCATGTGGATGGCCAGTTGAACTCCTCTTTCAAAGTTGGGATGATTGTGTTGCTGCTCTGGTCGGTTGTCAGTTGCCACTCTTGGATCTGTTTGCAGTCGGTTGCGTCCACTGAGATCACTTTCCATATAGAGTTGGCGGTGAGCTCGTTGCATGGCTTGTACCATAGGCCTAGTGGGTCTGATTTCGCACTTCTAATCAGCTCCCGCCAGTCTTGTGGAATTGCTTCTGTGATCGACCGTCTATACTGTTCCCCGTGCCATAGTTGTCCGAGTGATTGTCTGAGTTCCTGTTCTGTCTTCCACCGATTCTCACCCTCATGCCAATATGTCTTCTACTCGTAAAACTCCTCTCTTTTTTTTTTTTCTCTTTTTTTTTTTCTTTTGGAAAACGCCCTCGCCAGTGTTAGTGGTGCTGATAAGAGCAGACACCACTAGCACCTGGGGAGAGGCTCCATCTTGTCTACTTGCCGAAGCTCCAAAAGGGAGGTCATCTGGTCCAGTGATCCTTGGGTTCTCGAATATTGGCGGCATTAGAACTTCTGTTCTCGATACCGGTTTGGTGAAGATGCTTGGACTCACCCTGTCCCGTGATGCCAAGAGACTCTTCCACGCCTCCAATTTTGGTCGGCGTTTACTATAGGAGGGAAGCAAGGAGCAGAGCCAGACGTCTGATGGCCTGGACAGGCTCCATTCCTTGCCCACGATATCTTCAGCTAGTGCTATCCACGAAGGGGGGTCGCTTTGGAGAGTCGCCTTGAGAGGCTGCCCATCATCGCTGTTATGTGGTCTTCTGGGTCTAGGATGCCTAGACCTCCTGCTTTTTGTGAATGGCAGATGGTCTTCCGGGCGACCTTTGTATATGAACGATTGGCCTTCTTCTGCTGATGGTTTCCAGTCGAAGCGCGCTGCTTTCTTTCTCAGTTGCTTGTACTAGGCCTCTTCGCTTAAACCACCAGGACTTCCTAGAGTCGTGCCCGTTAACGCGCCACAATTTTAGGAAATGTACGGGTTACTACAGGAGCGCCCAAATTCATCCGATTATAAACGTTTCTACTCTTTTTTATTTTCCGTGGCAGATAGCTGGGCTATGTACTGGTGGTTTAATCCTCTCACCGCACCAGCATACCATAATTGGGAGAATGCTAGTGTGGTGAGGATGAGAGTCCTCTCTATTAGTGAAAGTGACAGGGTATGGCACCATCTGTTCATACATGTTGTCACTCTTTCTATAAGTCTTAGAACAACATCTTGAAATTGAGTTGTTTTCTTGGTTGATATCTGCATTCCGAGGAACTGCTCTGAGGTGTCTGTAGGGGTGCGCTTCATGCCCCACGAAACTGCAAGCTCGTAGGGAGGTAATAAGATGTATACCGATTTGGTCCAGTTTATGGATGCCTCCGATGCTTCAGAGTAGGTTAGTAGGCATTGTCTGAGTTCGTTTAAGTCTTGTCATGAGTTCTTACATATTGCAAGTGGGTCATCAGCCAATTCACCTCCTTTGCATTGTCTGTCCGAGGTGGGTACACCTCTGATTTTATTGTTCGCTTTAATATTATTCAGAGGGATTTTCATTTGTAGTACAAATAGAAGGGGTGCTAATGGACACCCTTGTCATAGTGTTCTGGTTAGGTTAAAGGGTATAGATATTTTCCCATTAATCATTACCGATGCGGTTGAGAAGGTATAGACTCTGAAGGTTGATTACCCAGTTTGTGAAGTTGTTCCCAAAGTTTATATGTTGTAGAGTGGTCAGAGCAAAGGACCAGCCTACCTTGTCGTAGGCCTTCTCAAGGTCTAGGAGTAATAGTGCATAGTTTTGATTTTGTTGGCTTTTTTATTTCTAAGGCTACCATGGCCGTCATTATGTTGCCGTAGATAGAGTGACCTTGAACAAAGAGATGGGGCGCCTTGTTCAGGGCCCAGCAGGCTAGGGAGATATCTCCCTAGCCTGATTGGCAGCGTTTTGGCTAGAAGTTTGCAGGACATATTTAACAAAGAGATGGGGCGCCAATTTTGGACATTAGTCTTTTCTCCTTTCAAATTCTTTCAATTCACCCTCACTACCTACCTATCACTACTCCTAAGGGTTATACAAGGGACCCTTACGAACATAGCTTTGTTGTCTCCCTCCAGCCAACAGAGGGGGATGACCTAACAGCTGTTAGCATTTCGGAAAAGGAAAAAGAAAGAAATTCCAAGCTGATGTGCCTGATTTTTTTTAATTTTTTTTCAAATTTAACATCCTGTGAAGTCCTGCCATTCCGTGGCGGCAACGGGGATGGGTTCGGCGGGAGTGCCTTGTCGTGCCCCACTTGGCTGCGATGTTCATGTGAGGGATGCCGGGCCCGCTTCCCGACCGCTGTAGATGACGTGATTTCTTTAGGGGAAAAAAAAAGAGAACTAGCAGAATTGAGGCGTTCTGATGGATGACTCCATTTTATTGGTGGAGAGCTTCACCTTATGGAAAACGTGTCCAGCATTCGTGTTGTATTCGAATAGAAAGCAACCTATCCGTTGTATTTGTTTACAACACCTGCTTAATGTTGGGGAAGACGGTAGCCTGTCTTCCCCCGAACATAATGCATATGTGTTTTATTCGAGTTAACAAAAATTCAATGATCTGAATAGAATGCATATGCGTTGTATTCGGATACACCAGCTGTTCGAATAGAACGCACATGTTTTGTATTCACGTGGAAAGCAACCTGTGCGTTGTTTATTTTAGTGTTAAAAAACCTATTAATGATCCGAATAGAACACATGTGCGTTGTATTCGGATACACCAGCTGTTCGAACAGAACACATATGTGGTGTATTCGAATAGAAAGAAACCTATCCGTTGTATTTGTTTACAACAAATGCGTAGCTGTTTGAACAGAACACATATGCGGTGTATTCGAATAGAAAGCAATCTATCCATTGTATTTGTCTACAACACATGCGTAGCTGTTCGACTAGAACACACATGTGTTGTGTTCGAATAGAAAACAACGTGTTTGTTTTATTTGGTTACAACACATGCTTACTTAAGGGACACTGGACCCGGTTTCCAGCAGGTGCTGCTCCCCACCAATAGATGGAGCGGCCCGCTAGGCAAAGCCTCAATCCCGGTGGTTCTCCTACCACCACCAGGATAGAGGTCTTGCACA